TTTTTTAAAACATTCATTTGAATAAAACATCAAATAGTATTATTTATTGACTAGCTTAGGACATTTATAGTCATGGGTCATGAGCGGGCCAGGGGGCCTCTGACCAACTCTGCTCCCCCCTCATCTCCCTTTAATTTTTCTTTTGTTTTTTTGTTATACATAAAATGATTTAATAATAAATAGTTATTAAAATTCAATTTAAAAACATATTTTTTTTTTTAGTTTAAGTTAGAGAAACAATTTATTTTCATTATTTCAAATAGATAAATACCTCTTATTACAAAGTAAGCACTCAAAACTTTTCACGATTTTAAAAATCATAACTTTTAAAATCAAAGATATTGAAATAATTTTTTTAATATTTTAACAATCAATATCTTTATAGTATTATTTAGTAGTTTAAGACAAATATAGTCATTGACATAATAAGGTGGACAATGGGATTTATTTTAATCCCCCTCCTTCTCACCCTCCATCCAAGGATTTGAAAAAAAGATAAAAAGAAAGACAAATTCTAAATGCAAAATAGGTAAATAAAATTACAATAAAATTATTTTAAACATATTTATTTTTATTTTTTTGTAACCAGCTGCTTATATTCTCTAAATCTAAATTAGATATTTTGTACGTATCACCTGATATTGTTGTGGGTGTAGAAATTAGGGATATAACTTCAGAATTGAGAGACAACACTTGTCATTTCTAATTGGCCAAAATAAGTTTTTACCTGGTGCCTGTGGCTGCATGAATCTGACTTTTATATCAAGCTCACTTACATCTTCAGCAATCCCAACTCACCAAAATCCATCATAAAAACATGCAATATAATCCATTTTTTTAATGCTTAATGAAATCTCTTTATTTTGTTTGTTTTTTAGGTTGATATCAAGTATTTCAATACATGTATCAATACTTGTTTTTTTTTATAACTTATAGTGTTTGAAGCAATTGGAATAAAATGATGATACATCCTTGTGCCAGGAACTGTTCTTCCACCTAAATATTATTTTTCTAAATTTGCTTGTGTTTGGTCGATATCATCTTTAGAAAATAATTTAAAATAAATTCCATTTATCTTGGCTTTACAAAAGGTGTATATTAAATTAACATCAAAAATCTGCCCAATAGTTATTTGTTTTAGACTTTCTTGACATACTACTCTTTTACCAGTCCCACCAATATCATCACAGGGAATTTTACCATGACTGGTAGCAAAAAATACTCATTCAGCATTTAAATCAAAGTTTTTACTGTGATGATAAAGATTGATAAAGTTTTTAAAATTTTTAAATTGTGCAGCACTACTACCTTAAATAAAGTCTTGTAAATAAATCCTGTGTCATGATCAACATCTTCTGAAAGGGAACAAAAAGATTTATGTCTGAAAACTTTTTTCTCTATAAAATAAAGTACAATTGTAAAAAGTGAGCATTGACTTTTGCTCCTGTGATAATTTTGAACCTCATCCTAAACAACATATTGATAATTTTCAGCAAAACCTCCTAAAATTAAGCATTCTTTTTGGTTAAGATTTTCTTTACAGTTTTCTTTAAGATTTTCAAAGCTGTCACTTAGTAAATCATTTAATTCATCTAGTGGCAATGATTGTAATAGTAGTGTTGTATGATCGGTACTCTGCCATTGTTTGAATGCTACATCGTCTTTAAGCTCATGATTCATAAACTCTTGCACTAAAAAACTTTTTAATGCTTCAATACCAGGGCATTGATTACATCAATGCAACATACATTCTGTATTTTCAAACATTCAATGCCATGAAATCTTTATAACTTTTATTCCACATAATGGCATCAATGAGAAATTTTGTATTTTGGTGATGTTTGTATACACATACATTATGAGTACCTGACACATTAGTTGTAATGCACCATTTAGGTTTAAGAGTACAAAACGCCAAAGTCAGTTTTTGACAAACTGACTGTGGCGTTAAGGTAGTTTAAATGCAACATGTAGTTCATAAAGATTGAGTAGCAATAATCTTTTTTGAATATTTTAACACTTAAATTTTTTTTTCTTGCATCATTCTTGAAAATTCATCACTTTGATAAAAGTTTATCACTAAATTAACTTTTTCTGGTGAAAGTGGGTTTCCAGTTTTTTTTTTTTCAGGTAATGATATAATTCCATGCATATTTTTAACTTTTCTTGCACTTCGAACAACATACTCAGACACTTCAAAGTAGCTTGATATCTTTGTACGTGTCCATGGTTTTTGTGCGAGTGTTAACATTTGCACCTTTTTTTTAATTTCATACATTAAAATGTCTAGATCATGGTAATTATTAATGTTGTTGTTTGAAATGGGGCTTTTTATTTCTGTTGTTAAAGAAGTTTCTATAATGTTATAGGCTAATGAGACCATTTTTGCAACTCTGTCAATAGTGTTCTCAAACTTTTGTTTTGCTGCAGGCAATTTACTGTGTTTTGAAAGACTTCTTAGTTTGATTGGTGAAATTCCAAACAATTCTATAGTGGTATCTAAGTTAATTTTTTTCTCACTTTTTGATTCCCATTCCTCCTGTGAATTTAAATCTTCATCAGTTTCTACTTTTTTTTTTTTTTTTTTTTAACATTTACTGCAGAATTTCCAACCTGGGGTTACATAAACATTATTTTTTTGAAAAAATTTTGCCAAGTCTAAGGAAATCTTTTTATTACCTAAGAAACAAATTTAATTTTAAGTTTTTAAAATAACTGAAAATATAAAATTTTTCACAAATAATAAATAGTTTTTCTTTTAATTTCCATATCAATTCTGTTGTAATTAATGTTAGATTACCTTTTAAAGCAATTTTTTTACTTTTCTTGCAAAAAGATTGCAACACTTTGTATCTTTTCTCTCGAAATATTTTCTATAGAATTGCTCACAACATATAATTCTTATTGAACAATATTTTTGCTTTAAATTTGCTCGCCATATTATTTCTTCTTGTTTTTCACAAGGAAGATCTTTGAATTGAACAAAACCTTGTTTTCTAGAAAATCCAGTTTTGTGGCAATGAATGTTAAAACTTTTTCCAATGTCACATTTCTCCATATTAAATATATTTATTATTTATAATATTACCTGCCAAAAAAATATAAAAACAAAATTCACAATCATTCTTTAAGAAAATACAAACTAGTAAATTACAACCTTTAAAAAGAAACAAAACCTTTGCTTGGTTTTGATATAATAAGAATAATGAAAATAAATTGTCAAACTTAAACTAATTGTTTTTAAATTAAATTTTAATAATTATTTATTATTAATTCATTTTATGTATTAAAAAAAATAAAAAAAATAAAAGGTAGATTGGGGTCGAAGTTGGTCAGATGCCCCCTGGCCTTCTCTTGGCCTATGACTATAAATGTCTCTTGGCCAATGACTATAAAGAGACAATTTTTAAATGCAAATTTTGATGAAGTATTAGAGACAATTGATGAATCTAATTTTTTTCAGTAGACCTAAGATAAAATATTGACATACAGTTAAACTTTTTACTCAAGATTTTGGGCCACAGTTTTCATTTTACCTCCAAAAATCATGAATTTACAAGTCAATAATTTTAAACAAAATTGGATAAGCGAGGCATTTTCTGAAACAATTGAGTCTTAAAGGTGCTATTTTTGGATTCCTCAAGTAATAATCCTGAGCCATTATGAAAATACTATATGTCAAAGTTGCTTTGTAGTTGCTTCAGATAATCACTAAAATGCTGAGTCAGCATTATTTCAACTGGCGATATCTCTGGAACCTATGTGTATTTTTAACTAAAATAGTTTTAATACATTTATGATTCTTAGAATATTACTGTAATGTTTTATTAGTAATTACTAGATGTTTAAATATAAGTTCAGATCAAATTCAGGGTCATCACAATTACCCCATTATTGGCAACATGTATATGCTAAGATTTGTTAAATTGTACATATTTAGTTTTTTTCAATAATAGAAGGAGCCCACTCCAGCATATGGGCACGTTATACAATTTTGCAAATCAAACAAACAAGAAATATTCTTTTATATATATGTTTTTCCTCCGTCATTAAGCTTTTTTGGAACATGTTCCTGATACTTTGCTTGGTTAATGCTCCCAGGAATAAATTTTTTTAACAAATCACATTTGTCGCTTTTCAGGATACGAAAAGTAATATTTGTTGTTAAAAATACATGTATATATTGATATTTTTATAGGCTGTTTTTCAGCAGATTTGCATTCTTCTCATATATATCTTCAAACATTTTGTGGATGTTCAAATTGGATTCTAAATACTACTTGGACGTTTTAGCTCAGCAATAATGTAAATTGACTCAATGAAATGAGTTGATATGCTTCCTGACATGCTCTTCTGAAACAGTACTGTGCTTCTTTTTACTTTGACAGTCAGGCTTGGGGGTATTTATATTCGTATCAGAATGCACATTATTTATTGGTTTTTGTAAAATGCTAAGTTTTTTTTGTAAAATGTCTTATTTTCTAATATGTCAGTTTCTATTGGTAATTAAAATAATATTAATATTATTTGTATTGAAGTTATGATGAAATATTAAATGTAACTATTATAGGATTACAAACCTAAATTAGTTGAAACAGATTCTATGTTGTGCTTGTTGCCCCTTCATATCTACACTAATAACATTTGCATCAAAGAGAACATAATAAAAATAATAATTTGAAATGCTTGAATAAGTAAAGTCTGAAATAACAATGATAAAATGTACACTATTTCAACTATAATTCAAACACAGGAAGAAGTTCATAAAAATTTAACTTGTCAAAGCAAAAAGGTTTTTGTTACAAAAATCTCATTTTTGTTACAAAAATCTCATTTTTGTTACAAAAATCTCATTTTTGTTACAAAAGTCTCATTTTTGTTACTAAAGTCTCATTTTTGTTACAAAAGTCTCATTTTTGTTACTTGACTAGGGTGGAGGTTTTAAACTAATGGTAAATATTTTAACTAATTTTAGTTTATGCTAATTATGTTAATTTTAGGACTTTCAAAGAATGCTTTCGCAAGAGAACGATTTAGATTTTAGTTTTTCTTCAAAAGAAGATGTATTTTCAGATCTACATGCAGAAGGTTCTACAAAATTCAAAGATTCGAGTACATTACTCTCAAAATCATTTAATGACACTCACGAGTTTCAAAATAAGATTTACACACCTAGTTTAGTAAAGAAAACCTCTGGATCAGAAGTAAGTCAACATCACATTTCAATGCCAAATGTTAGTCAAAATTCTTTTTCAAGAAAAAATCAGAGCTCAATAAGGCACCATTCATCCAGTGATCATAAGGGAACGCCTGAGTTTAATAACAAATGTATGAAAGATATAGCGGATCATTTTCTCTATCAAACGCCATCGTCTTTAAATTCTTTAAATTTATCCGAAAATAAATGACTTCATCAAGTAACCTTCGGATAAATTTATAGATTTAATAATTTATAAAATTAACAATTTTGTGCACATATAAATGTTTGTATTTTTAAGATAAGAAAATAAAAATCCTTAATCAATTAGTTTCAAAATAATTTCAATTTTTTTGTATTTATATTACTTTTTGTTTTTGTTGCTGATGTTTTTACATCTTAATAAGTAAAATATAATTAACTAAACTAAAAAATCGTAAAAATAATAATTTTTCTATGAATATTTTGATATATATTTTGATATATATATATATATTATTATTTGTGATAAAAAAATATATTTTTAAAATTTTGATATATAAATTTTGTATTTAAAAATATTTGTATTTTAAAGAATTTAAAGATGTTGTTATAAAAACTTTTATCAAATAAAAAATTATTTCTACTATATTTCTTCACGTTTTCTCATTTGTTTTTTTTTTTCTGAACAATTTTTTTTTATTTGCAATTCTTACCATTCTTTTAAAATGGTGCAAAACTTTAATGATTAAATCTCGTATTTCCTCCCAGAAGTGAAAATTGTGCAAAACTTTAACGATTAAATCTCGTATTTCCTCCCAGAGGTGAAAATTAGAACATTGAAATGCTTTAAATATAAACATTGAAAACTTGATAAAAGCATGATAAAAGCTTTGATAGTATGTTTATGTCTACCGGGTGACCACGCAACTGCGTTACGCTCAAATTTAAGGCTCTATCCATGCTTGAAGATATCCGTGGACCTATTTGTTTACAAATTACGCAATGATATCAATACAGAAATAAAAAAAAACGTAAAAATTAAACAAATTTAATTAAAATGGATCTGCAAGAATCAAAAAGACGAAGCATTCTGCAAATGTTGCAATCGGATAAGACTACATCAGATATCAGAAAGGCTTTAAACTGCTCCAGAACAGCAATTTTTTTAGTAAGAAAACTTTTTCATGAAACAGGAGATATCAAACAACGTTTTAATAAGCTAAAACCTGTGAAACGATTACTTCAGTTTTTAAGGTCTGACAAAAGAAAAGTCAAGCGAAATCCATTGCGCTCCATCCGCCAGTTGGCAAGGGAAGCCAATGTTGCTAACTCCACAATGCAAAAAGTTATAAAAGATTTGAACCTTAAATCCAGAGCTGTTGTGACTAAGCATTTTATCACTAATAAACAGAAAGAAAGTAGGAAAGAGCGGTGCAAAAAATTGTTAATCTGGCGAAAAACTTACCCTGGGCGTATGACAATCTTCTCTAATAAAAAACTTTTCACCGTGGATGAAGTTACTAATCGTCGTAACACAAGGTACCTTAGTACTGCCAAAACAGTAAAGGAAGTCCTTGAGAACATCAGGTATTCATTTTCATTAAAAAAACCAGCTTCTGTGATGGTACTTGACATGATAGCAAGTGATGGAAAAAAGTGTCCACCAGTTTTTGTGAAAAAAGGTCAAAAAATTGACAATGATGACTATATCCACCTCCTGAAGGTCATTCCCTGGTTAAACAGAAACTATCCAGATGGTCAGTATGTGTTTCAGCAGGATGGGGTACCAGCTCATACTTCAAAAAAGACACAAAATTTATTCAGTCAAAACATGAGTCAGTACTGGGACAAATTAAAGTGACCTCCATCTAGCCCAGATCTGAACCCATTAGACTTTTTTATGTGGACGGCTGTGGAGCTTGCAAGATTCCCCATAAAAGTACCGAGTCACTAAAAAAATCTATATGCAAAGCATGGGCCAAAGTTCCAGAAGAAGATGTCAAGAATGCATGAAGATCCTTCAAGCGGCGTATCCAACTTGTGTATGATGCCAATGGTGGCCACATTGAATGATTTTAAACCTTAGTCATGAATAAACATCTAGTCAAAATTCTAGTCAGTTATGAATTGAAATAAATTTTTTGTGTATTTTTAAATTTTAGATTGTTTGCGTTACGCTGTTGCTTGGTCACCCGGTATGACTTGGATCTTTTTCATTCTTATTGGTATGGTTGGGATCTTTTTAATATTCCCCGAGTCAGGGCCGTTCCGAAGAGATTTCAAAGGAGGAGGAGGTGTGACGTATCTAATTTTTGCCGACTGAGGCCAAAATTTGTTTGCTGACTAAGATCCTCAAAAAAAAGTTCTGTCATTTGCCGACTGCCAATTATAGATCCAATTTTGCTGACTCCAGTGTCCAATATGCTGATTTGTAAATTTAGCAAGCCCCCCTCCCCTGGGGATGCCTCATTAGATTACTTGCTAATATTATTATTCTGCCTTTTATTCCCATAAGTAGGGTTATTTCTCAGCATTGCACAATAAGACCAAGGTTCGCAAAACCAAGAAAAGGAATGTATTTTATGAAGTGATTATCAGAATAAAATTGATTATTCTCTACTGATAATAAACTTTTCTTTAACAATAAAGAAAGCAATGTTTAATGATAAAACTTATGAACCTTCAACTTCAAGATTAGAAAAAGATCGCAATATAGGCTAGTCAGACAATGACGATCGTAATAGCCAAGAGCAAAAGAAAACAATAGAAACTACAGAAAATTCTCTTAAAATCAAAAATAGTATTTTAATAAACTGCTTGAAATAACTGAATAAAGTGTAAAAATAGATTTTTCCAATCCTGCTTCTTGGAAAAATCTACAAATAAGTAGAAAAAAATTGTAATGTAAGTACTACTTTTCCAAACGTCAACAAATGACTTACAAACTACGATATCTTATCGGTTGACTAAACTCTGTAGCAACAGTGCATTTTAGTTTAATCTATAGGAAAATTAACATAAAAGCAAAAGCACTGCTAAAATAGCTGTATATTTGTTTTTTATCTGGATTTTTTTAAAATGATTTTGGCTGAAAATTACTTGAAACAAGTTTGCAAAAATTTTACTTTAGATAAAGAAAATAAGAAAGTTTTTAGCAGTGCATCATAAATAAAAACTTCTACACGGTAAAGATGTTTGTTAGGAATATCTTCATACTCTGTATTAACTGATGTTTTGTTTTTGCTTTTTTTTGGATGAATATTGAGTTAAAGCATGTCTCGCTCAGAACGGATGCAATAAATGGCATAACATACTAGTAATTTTCTCTTTACATAAAAAAGGTAAGGATCACATTTCCAACTTGGAATCGTCACTTGAAAACGCTGCTGCGCAAGTTTTTCGAACGCAATTCATTCAACAAGAGCGGACGCATTCAACAAGAACGGACGCGATTTTACCACGAGGAGAATTTTACCACGAGGAGAAAAAAAAAAAAACATTTGGAATTGTACTTTGCATTTGGAAAAATATACAAGTTTAATCTAAAGAAAAATTTATTTTTATTTTTTCACGTATGGCAGTAACAATAAAAAACTACTATGGCAGTAACAATAAAAAAAAATGTTAAAAGAAATGTTTAGAGAATTCAAAAAAGAAACTGAAGAAATTACAAAGGAATTGGAAGATATTAGGGCTAGTCTAAACTACAAAAAAGAACTCGTTGACAAAAGAATTCATAACAACAATAAACAACTAGATAAAAAATTCGAACATACTAATATAAAATAAAAATCAATCATAAAAATGAATGAAGGGAAAGTAACGAAACCTGGAAGATAGATCAAGAAGAAATAACCTACGTATCGGTGGAATTGATGAAAATGGGCAAGAATCATGGGGTGACTCTGAAGAAAAAGTTCACGCATTTTTCTGGCAAAAACTTGGACTGAAAAGTATCGAAATTGAATGTGTCTACTGCACTGGATTGAAGAAAGACGGACAACCAAGGATAATAGTACTTAAGCTGCAGAAATACAAAGACAAAATAAGAATCTTGTAAGAATCTCATCGACTAAAAGGCATGAATTCCCTCATTAACGAAGACTTTTCTCGTGAGACCGTTGCTATTCGGAAAAAGTTATTTGCGGAAGTTAAACAAAGACGCTCAAAAGGTGAAAATGTAACAGTAAGATATGGAAGGCCGGCGCGATAGGGAGGTGTGGGGGGTGTTAAACCCCTCCCCCCATCAATGATTTTTAGTCGGCAAATTGGACCCTTTTAGACTAGTTAGTCTGCAAATGTTGACCCTATCGCTATAGGTTAGTCGGTAATCTAGACAGTCGGCAAATGTCGTCATGGCAGTCGGCAAATTTTGGAAAACGAGGACTTTTTTTTTTTTTTTTTTAGTCGGCAAAATGTAATGGCAACCCCCCTCCCCCCCAAGTGACAACTACTCGCGCCGGCCCTGAAGATATGACAAAATTATTTAATTCTAAAATTAATTTTAACAAATAACTAGCACTCCTAAAAGAAATCCTTTGTTTGTTTTTTCAATTTATTATTATGGCTTTGACTAATAACTTTAAATCCCTTTTTTTTAATTTATATAAAACAAATCTCTTTTCTTCAGAAGAAAACCTAGACCCTGAAAATAATTTTTATGGCAATAATTTATCTATTGTTTATATCTTTTTCCTAGCCAACTAGAAGGGTTTCTTTTAAAGAATGTTCGCAAAAAAAAAAATCAAATTGTAATTCTCCACTTCAATAAAAGAAGTTTGAAATGCAATTTTAAAAAACTTCTAAATCTATTAGAAAAAACTAAACACATTTTTAATATAATTTGTTTAACTGAAACTTGGATCACAGTAGATGAAATAAGTAGTAATTTTGATTTACCTCATTTTAATACAATTTCTATGGAGAGAAAAACAAATAAGCGTGGCGGTGGAGTAACTTATGTTCACGAAAATTTTGAGAATTGTTTATGAATGATTTGAGCGTTTGACTGCGACAAGAAAATTGTAACTATTGAAATTTCAAACAATCAAACTAAAAACATTTTACTAAGCTGTTGTTATCGGCCTCCTGACTGCGTGAGGAAAAACCTGAGCATGTTCTTACAACAAATCATAAAAAAAGGAACTAATGATAAAAAAAAAACTATATAGTCAGAGACTTAAATATGAACTGACGACCGTAAAATTAAGAATTTTTATGATGTAATTTTTCAAACAGGTTCAGTTACTTTAATAAATCAACCCACTAGAGTAACAATAAACACAGCAACTCTTATAGATAATATTATAACTACTGATATTTTCAATAATAATATACAAATAGGTA